TCTGGTCCCCCTTCTTACTTTGCAGTGCTTTGATTCTATGCTTTGGAGGTCAGAAACATATATTTTAAAAGCTTGTGTGGAGCACGATAGAATGAAGTCCTGATAGGGTGAGTTCTCGGGACTGCTGAAATATCAGTAGTCAATAACAATCTGAAGAATAATGATAAAGCCTTTATGTTGTTTGCACTTTCTATTTAACTTCTCTGTCTTCTTTTCTTACTACTAAGGTAGCCTTCCCTACAGCTTAGGGCCACATATTTCTGCGTAATATGCAAACCACCCTGATAATATGCTACTTGGCCTGTAGAGTTTGTTGCCAAACATGAGATAAGTAAGAGTAAAAAATAGTAAGTTTTAAGGAAGAGGATATGAAATACAAAGAGAAGTAAATTGTTGTGGCTTGTATCAAATCTCAAAAGTGTATTTTTTGAGGTAATTACTTCGATTTGGTATAATGTCATGTTGTCTTTTTTCACAATCTAGCTTTATGCATTTTTATAGGTAACATAGATGGATCTAAGTAGATTCATATCTGAGGCTTGGATTTAGACATCTAAAAACTCAATTTTTCTAGCCAACGTCAGAGCAAGTTTTGTATGAGCTATGTTCAGTGCTGTACTGTTCAAATAGATATTCAGTCAGATCTGGAGCTGTGGTAAACTGGTTTTGACACTGTTTCCCACAGCCTTCTCCTGGACAAACTGGCAAGATACAGATTGCATAGGTGACCTGTGAGATAGGTAGGAAACTGGCTAACAGGCCACACTCAAGGGGTGATCATCAATGGTTTTTACTCAGGCTGGCAGCCTGTCACAAATGGGGTCCCCCAGGGATCAATACTGGACCCTACACTGTTCAAATCTTCATAAAAGATCTGGACAATGGGATTGAAAGCACTGTCACCACGTTTGCTGATGAGACCAAACTGGGTGGTGAGATGGACAAGTCAGAAGGGTGAGCCATCTTAGAGAGACCCGGACAGGCTGGAGGAGTGGGCTAGCAAGAACAGTATGAAGTTTAACAAAGACAAATGCAAAGTCCTGCACCTGTGACAGAATAACTAAAGTGCCCAATACAGGCTAGGATCTGTGTGGCTGGGGAGCAGCCTGGCTGAAAGGGACCTGGAGGGTCCTGGTGGACAATAAGGTGAACATGAGTTGCTGCAGCAACGAAGGCAAATCGGATCCTGAGCTGCATCTGCAGGGGCGTTATCAGCTGAGATAAAGATGTGATCATCCCACTCTACTCAGTGCTTGTCAGTCTGCATCTGGAGTGCTGATTCCCCACAACTCAAGAAAGATATGGACAGACTGGGGAGGGTCCAAAGGGGGGGCCACAAAGATAATCAAAGGGCTGGAGAACCTGCCCTATGAGGAAAGACTGAAGAAGTTCAAGCTCTTCTTCCTGGAGAAGAGAATGCTCAGGGGGGAACCTCATCGTAGCATTTTAGTACTTAAAGGGTGGCTACAAAGAGGACAGAGGCTCTCTCTTCACAAGGAGCCATGTGGAAAAAGACAAGGGGTAATGGATACAAGTTGCACTGGGAGAGGTTTCATCTCAATATAAGAAAAAATTTTTTTTTTTACAGTGAGAACAATTATTCACTGGAACAACTTCCCCAGGGATGTGGTAGACACCGCATCACTGGAGGTTTCTAAGATGCTGGACAGAGCGCTTGATAATCTCATTTAGACTCCCTTTCCCATGAAAGGTTGGACCAGACAATCTTTTGAGGTCCTTTCCAACCTGGGCTGTTCTATGATTCTGTGATTGTTTCTATGATTAAATTGTTCTTGGACTTTGCATTCTAATGCGAATCAATCTTTCATCTTCTTCTCTCTGTCCTGTGCCTTTCTAGGTAGGGACTACCTCAACATGGATCAGCATTACTGCAGTTTCTACCCATGAAGTCAGTGTGCAACACATGGCCAGCCTAGGAGGACCGTAGTCAGTCTATTGCTTTTTCTGGGTCGAAGTGGAGCTGCATGCAAACTTTTGAATCAGTAGCCTAGCCTGAGCGGTACTACAGAGGGTCTGGTGCATTGCCCAGTCGTTTAACTTCATTTCCTAGACATAACTTTATTTGAAATGACAACAGCTCTTCTTCATAAATGGAGCTGTAAAGAACAAAGTGAAGAAAAGTAGAAATAAATTTCAGAACAAAACAAACCAGGAACTGCAATCCAGATGACAATATCTACAAATGATTTGGTTTCTTTCCCACTAGATCTGGAGATCAATTTCAGTTCTCCATCTTAATTCCCATTTTTCGTAGATCTGTTTAGAATACTGTTACTATGCCATGAACTGTGGCAATGCTAGATAATTTTTAAAAGGACTGCTTATTCTACTAGAAGCTGTGTTCTGGCTCTGTTCCAATACAAGACTTGTTGCTTGTCCTGAGACACACAGTTAGAAACACATGTTTGTCTTGATTACTTGAAATATAGTTCACTAATTAGTTGAAATCAGTTCTGGTCTGGCAGTAAGAAATGGCTTTTTGATATACATTCAGATGATTCAAAGCATGGGAGTAGCTTAGCTGTTCTCTTCAGGTACAAAAACAGAGTTATCTAGGCTTTACTGATTAAAGGAAACTTTATCTATGTGCTGAATCTTTTTATATGCAGTAAATTACTGCTGTATGGAAAGAAACCTTACATCATCCCTCATAGGTACACTATCCAGTACTGCAGGCTGAGCAGACCCAGGAATTTATTTTAATTGTTAATGGTAGGTTTGATACTTCTTACAAGATGGAGATGCCAGGAAATAATTGGTGTCTCAGTTCATGGGAGTGTTTATCATTTAGATGGCCCTCACACAAACTATAAACAGTCTAAACACTAATGCTGGAAAGAGCAATTTAAATAAGTACTTAATGCTAGTCTATACTTAGCTCTTCCTTGTGTTTCCCATGAGTGCAATTTCACAGTGATAGCAGCAGGACAAGGCACTGGAAATCTTTTTTTTTAATTTGAAATCAGAATACAATATTATTTGTAGAAAGTCTTAAATGACAAATAACTATAGCATTTTAGCTGTACTTGGACTCGTGTTGCTTTAGTGCATATATAGTACTGAATTGGTGCTATGGGGAAGCGGCTAAAGAATATGACACTGTTCTACATTGGCTCACGATATGCTCCAAAAAGTCTGTATGCAGTGGATGTGGATGTCATCATTGCTAGTAGTTGGATTTGAAATGGCCCTTGTGATCTGCTTCTGTTCAAATAAAACCAGGGGCTAATCATAATATCTGGTTATGGGTGAAATAAGATGCTTCATGTTCTAGGGACTACAATATTGTTTGGCTGCTGTGATTGGTTGGGTGTTTCATATATTAGATGATAATTATATACAGAAAGGTAATATAAATGTAGTAAGTTTATTGGTTGGTTTAATGTCCTGATCCTGCACTAAACTATCTCACCTTCTAGGTCACTGCTTTGTGCTTGTATGGGAAATCATCAAGGATTTGAGGAAACTGATGCTTTTAATCAGCACTTATTTCACTTACTCTGAGAGGGCTTTTTACATGTAATTCACTGAACCCGTTGGCTCTAAGATATTTTGAAGCCCTGGCTGTGTGCTTGGTACTCACGCTGATAATGGGCAGTCCCAGGGCTGAATGAATTTATGACCTTATAGAAGGTATATGTCTCCTCTGCAGGAAACCATGCATTTTACAGTTTAGCTGTACCCACCTTCATGTAGAAGAGACAGCTGGGACACCATCAGGTCTCAGTGCAGTTTTGGTGCATCTGTGCATCTTGTGGTGTTCCTTCTGTCCTCTTCAACATTTTTCTCCCATTCCTGAAGGTACTGCAGTTGCCACAGCGTTTTTGTTTTCCTTTCTAGCTATGTGACTGGCTCACTGCAGCTATACTATGAGGGTCATGGCTTCCACCTCTGGGAAATTGTTATGCTCCAGAGTTTATTTACTGCAGATTTGATGATCCACAGAAATTTAGGAAATTACGCTTTTTATAGTACTGCATATAGCAGCATCTACATTCTTCTTTCCTGTAAGTAACAATGATGGCTGGACTCTGCTGAGACAGCTCATGGGTCCCAACAAACCCTGCATGACAGCATGCGTGCAAGGTCTGGGCATTAGCAATCTGTAGGCTGTGACCGCTATTACCAAGGAATCGGTCCAGTTTCATTGCTGCCACCTACTGAAACTAGAGCTTTTCACCTCATTGAGCAGACTAGTGGGAAGCATAGTTTTGCAGATGAGATCTGAAATGCCATATAATCACTAAAAATAATAATCAAAAATGCCCCCTGCCCCTTTTAAATGAGGACTTCCGAAATGTTTGTTTATTTTGTTACTTAAAGTTCAGCTTCCTGTGCAGCTTTAGTGGTCCTAACTAATACTCTTTCTGTAGCTATTAATTCTTTCCCTGCTGATTTTCTTGGGATATGTCTCTGATACAGCTCTGCCTGGTATCTTCTGTTTTCTGAGCAGTAACTCATGAATATGTTTAGCTTTTCTATGTTGTCTTTAATGCAAAAAAAAAAAGCTCTTTCTTTGTGATAATGGAAACATCTGTATGTACTTCAGAAAACTCTTAGCATGATTTAATATTTTTTTGGGAAGAGTGTCTTATATTTTAAATACTCTTTAGTTGCTTGGTGACTTTGCTTGACAAGATTTTGCTTGCTAAACTTGATTTGAAAAATGTTCATTACAAAAAAAACCCCAACCTATTTTCTAGCACTGGTTAATGGTTTTGAAATTGCAGAGTTCACTACACTACATCAGAAGGCAAAACATATTTATTCCTATAACTAATTTAGCAAGTACTCATAGAATAAAAAAACCACAGTCTACTTTGATATGCTATATATAGGACTGACTGGGCAGCACTGAAATATAAGAATTTGTATGGTGGTCTTAATGACCAACTTTTTTCTTTTTTTTTTTTTTCTCTAAGGTTTGTATGATTTTACACTTGTTTAAAAAAAATGTCTTTTCCCCTTCCCCTCTTAAAGGTAGAGACCTGTGGGTTCTTGTTCTGGGAAGGTTTCCAACCCATCATAAGATTGGCATTCCAGAGTTCAAGTATGTTGCTAATATGCATGGGGATGAGGTATGTTTCAACTTTTGCAATGTCATTTATACCAAATACACTTACCAGAGGTTTAGAGTGAACTTCTCTCAGGTGTGTGCTACTTATTATTAAGGTATATCATACTTCAAAGAAGACCTAGTATGTGTGTATTTCTTGAGGAATTTAAAGAGTAAAGTTCCCTTGTTTTGGTAGAAGGGCTTTAGGACACCTTACATCACGGTGAAGAATCCTACAGTCCTACACCTCAGACCTCTCTTAAGCAGAGAGCTTTGTCTTCACCATGTGAATAAACCCACAGGCTTTAACTTTCCTGGCAACGAGTCAGATGCTTGTATGTTTGCTCGTATGTTGTTATTGCCTAGGCATGAAGTATGACTGATAGAACTCTTCAAATACATCCTAAGATTGAATAATAATTCCTGTGGAGCACCGAATGGCCCATTTTAGAAAGAAAATTTCTTTTGGGAGTCTTAAGCTAGGAATACCTAGATTCACCTGAGATAACACAGTGAATACAAAACAAAAAGCAATTTCAGGCTTAACTTGCTGTGGAAAGAATGCCCACTCATTAATTGTAAAGGGGATAATGGTGATTATGAGCCTTCCTGGTGTAGTACATGAATCTGGAACAGAAAGACTCAAAGCTTCACTCTTCCCTATAATCTTTTCTTGCTTTCTATTTCCCTTATTCTTTAGCTTTACCTGTTTTAATTAGTCATGTTCAGGAAAAGTGTAAACTACACAATATATTCCTATGCAGTCTTTAATGTGAAAGGTAAATAATTCAACAGAGAAATGGCAAAATTTATATTTTTATACATACATACATATATACATACATATATATGTATGCTGGACTGTGAATTCCCAAAACTAAGAAAAATAGATGTAGTAGGAAGTGTATCCTATGTAAAGCATTACATATCACAAGCTATTGTTATTACCAATACTGTGTGTGAGCACCTGCACACCTACAGGCACTTGTGATATTATGTGCCAAGAATTTTCCCCAAGTTAGGCTGGTTTTACCTTGTTTTGACAGTGGCTATGCTCAAAGTGCTGCTAGGAGTCTGACTGGTTTGGTATTTAACTCTGTGTGGGAGGAAGCTGATTCATGGTTTCAAATGTGTTACTGGATGCCCAGGACAGGGTTTACAACTCCTAAAACCTTGTGCATGGCAGCAGGGAAGTCCAGGGTGCCTAGGAACTGAGGCTCCATGTGACAATCCCTGCAGACTGCTGGAGGAAATTGCAAACCTATGGCTACAGATGACCCAGCTTTGGTGGGAAAGAGATGGAGGGCAGGATATGATCTCGTCCAGAATGGCCTGGGTCTCAAATCCAATATTGCTGGACTGCAGAAGGCCACTCCTCCTATTGAAACCTCCACAATGAAGCACTCCTGCCATTAATCACTGCCCAGCTGGATATGCATGAGGAACTTTGACCATGGAGACACATGCTGTTTGCATATCCATGGGGTCAGGAATTGCTGGAGATCAGGCAACCTGGATCACTGCCTAGGATCTAAATTTTTATATTGACTCTGTGAGGAAATGAGGCAAGACTTTTTTAAGTACCTGGCACTGTGTCTGAGTTTGTCTGAGTAGGGTTGATCCTTGAGCTGCCTGGGTACCACATAGCACTAAGTGCCATGCTACATTCTAACTTGTTCATTAGACCAAGCATGCACCTAGAGAAGATTCTGGAAATAGAGCTATTACTCCTTTTCAGGCCCTCATGATGATCTTTGCCTTATGTTTTTTCATGTATGGATACAATGCACAATTCGTGTTTGTTTTTCCTATCTGACCATAAATGTATTTCATATGGCAGGAAATGAATTCCTCATATAGAGAAGCATTGGAGAATTTGAATATTTTCTTTCCCATAATCTAAGATTCTGCTGGACTAGTCACTGGGGAAAGATTCAACTACCCCTATGATATATTAAGCAGATAAGTTTTGCACTAACTGTATGACAAGATTCAACTTGTATTCCACACTCTAAAATATGGCTTCATTGATCTAGTTAGGTCTTTTGTGCTTCAGTGATGCTTTCCATAAATGGTATGAAGTGAGAAAAGTTCTGTTCTCAAGTATTTGTTTGGTGATGCTGCTCTTCTAAACTGTCATGATCACACAAATGACATTTTTCTTTTTTGGCTCAGCTAGCCGACTGCTCCTAGAACCTAAATGTTGGGGGGGGGGGCAGGGCCGGAATGGCATGTGTGCAGGTTGTTCACACGTGCTGCTGGAAGAGAACCTAGGTTATTTGGAGAGCTGCCCAACAGGGAAGCTCTAATAAAATAATGTGAGTACACAATACTAGGAAGAAAGTATTCTTTTCAGAACTGGAAAGATTTTTAAGTAGGTTAATTTTTCTTAATACTGTAAGACATAACCAGCCAAGGTTTAAATGATTTTATTTTGTGATCACTGTTGCCAAATAGAGTGAACTTTTGTCCCAGATCCCCAGAGATGCAACAAAAGACTTCTCCCATTCTTTCTGTGCCTGTATGAATGCCATTTTTAGCAGTACTTTTTGTTTAACCCGAGCCAGATTAAAACTGATAATTAGAGGTAGTTCAATCACTTGCAGCTATGTGAGACTTTAACCAAAATGGCACTAGTAGACTGCACAAAATGCACAAGCCTGTGGAATGTTAATAAAGTCTGCGCTGAGGAAGATGAGGGAGAGGTTTCCTGCTGTTCTGGGGCAGCTCTCATTCTGAATTAGGCAGCAGCCTCTCTTGTCCCAGGCTTGTGGTCTTACTTGAAAGGTCTTCTCTTCCTCCATGTGTACACTCACACGTTCCTCTCTGGGATAAAACTCGTTCCACTTAACATCGACCACAACTAAACCCCCAAACACTCCTAAGTCATAAATGGAGCAGAACTATCACCTTTTGACGAGCTGTACCAGTGACTTGAGTCCAATCTACACAACTGAATCATAGGATCTAATTAGAAGGCTGTTCCTAAACCATGTATATCACAACAGGAAAACTCCTTAAGGGAAAGCATGTCTGAACAAAAACTTGTGCGTTTCTGCTTGTCCCCTTTAATGTATTAAGTATATGGCTTCCTTTAACTTTCTGCAGCTATAGTGTTACTGGACCGTCACAAGATAAACTTTTTCCCAGGATGGTAATGCTGATACTAACCCTTTTCTCCTAAATCATCCACTTCTGATCACTTTCTTTTCTTAGTGTAATAACATTTTGCCTCTCTCATTAAGTGAAGCTGAGCCTATACTGATAGGCCTGAGCTAGCCTACATGAAAGGATGTGTTTATCTTGTTGGCTTATCTTGTATTTAAGTTAAAGCAACTAGACCCTATTTTCCGTGTCATCTTAGACATAGTCATAGTCACAGAGGGTTTCCTGAGATATGGTGACTTACTAGGTGTTGGGTGACTGAGGACTGGGGTAGATTTATTAGTGATCAATATAATTGGGGCTTAAAAACAACCAACAAACTAATGAGTCTTGTGTAGAATTTTACTCTCATTTCCAAAAAAAATGAATGGAAGCTGCATTTACACTACCAAAATGCCACTATAAAAAAAAAGGCTTTTTTATTACTAGGTTGGGCAAAAAGAGTTGTGTCCACATACTGTACAATGTGCTATAAGGAATTTTCAGCACATATTCCTATGTCCTTTGTACTGTGCAATATAGTATGGAAGTGGTGTGGCAGGGAAACAAATATGTGCTCTAGAAAAGAGAATTAAAAAAAAAAATATTTCTTGCATAGTGAACTATTTTCCACCTGGCTTCAGTATCAGCTGATGTGATGCAGTATCAGCTGATGTGATGTAAAGAAGGTCAGAAGCACCAGAGATTTCAAAATTCAAAGCAAACAAATCTATTTGCTAACCTCAGACTTTAAAAAAAGCTGGATGCTACTGAGATCTCTTTCAACACAGGGCTGGTGCCTCGCCCCAGTTGCCTTTTTCCTTATCTTTACTCCCACTCTTTTGAGTGGGAAAAGAAAAAGTGATCCATTTCTCAGCCAGGTGAAGCCTATGCTGAGAAGCCTGAAGCCTGTGGAATTTGTCCAGGTGGTAACATCTTATGCCAGTTACTAGTTCAAAAGCAGGCTTTATGTTGCCATTTCCTTCAGTGATAAACCAAGGAACTGCAATTCCCTGTCATGTTTCCATAGTGATTACTGCTATAGAAATAAATGGATATGTGCCAAACTGTATTTGCACAGTTGCTTTAACAACGATGTATTTTAGTAAAAGAGGACTAACACAGGGGGGTGTGTCGCAGCTGTGCATAATAATTAGAGCTGTACAAGTGTTAAAAAAGAACATCTTGTAAGTGTGGCATTTAAGTAGTAAACCAGGATGAGCTATTGTGTTCTCTGCTGTAACTCTGCTTCCTTAAGCAGGATTGTGCCTGGTATGCTGCGTTAGGTCTGTAGAGCAGTCAGGGCTGGAGCAAGGAGACTGGCAAGACCATGTTGCTCTGAAACAGGTCCTACCTGATGGTTTGGATCTTTCTTTCAACATAGTTCAACTTAAAAACCAGGCCACATTTAAGGAAAGAATTTTAATCACAAAAATGGGTAGTCTATCCACCCATAGTCCCCTGGTATTAGGTCTCTATCATGTGGTAACAAAAGCGTTTTAAAAATAGGGGTGCTGCAGTGAAGTGTTACAGTGCAGGTGCAATTGGAGCTAACCTTAATCTTTTAACTGGTTGCTGCGAGGGCTTCTTGAGTAAGCCCTTCAGTAGCTGAGCAGGGTGCTGACCCAGCCATGCCAGAAGCAATAGTCAGCAAGTTTAAGGGGTATGTCTACAGAAATGGCAGTCACACCCTTTTCTACAGTGTTGATCCATGCCCTGACACATGCATGCTTCTTCCTTCAGGACTTCCCCTGAGGATCACTGTAAGCATGGGGCACACAAAGAAACTGACAGCTGAAAGTGCACAGAGAAACTTAACGTCTGAGTCCCTAGAGGGTGGAGAAAGGGTTTTCCTTTTGCTTTTGTGTCACCCCTCATCTGAGCTACAGCAAAACAATGTACCTGGGCATCGCCCTTGGGATACTGCAATTAAAACCAAATATTCATCATGTCTTTTCAAAGACCCAGAGCACATAAAGGCTGTCCCTTGCTCTCTACATCTTCATATTAGACTAGAGGCAGGTTAAGGTGTCTGTCCTTGACTTTACTGTCCACAACCTACCTCCACTCTGTCTAGCTCCTTTATTTGAAGCTTGAAAGTAAAAATAAATGTCTTGTAACTTTTCTCCACAAGTACAGCTGACCTCTCTAGTAATAGGGTAAAGCCTGGCTGGGCAGGAGATGCCTTCCAAGGGCTTGATCAAAACTTGAGCTATGCTTTTCCAGAAACAAAAGCTTTCCCTTTTCCTCCCCTAAAACACCTCCAGATGTGCTTTCTCAAGAAATGCAGGGTACTCTGGACCAAAATAAAACCATCCCTCTGTCACTCCACCAAAACAGAGTGGTAATAAACACACTCTTCCCCCACTGGGGAATGATCAAAGTACCAACCCTCTGTGATAGAGATTACCTGAATTGTTTAAAGTACTAAGTACTCAAGTACAGCGATAGCTATACAAGGAATCCTATAAAATAGGGTTAGTTTTTAAAATACTGTATATGTAAGTAAGTCTGGGTTTAACTCTTAAGTGCAAAGAATGTCATCTATGAAAAACTGGTCATCTTCCATTCTTTATAAACATTGTCCTTTTACACCACCTTCTCTTGTTGCTTTTCTTTATCTTTTTTTCCCCTTCCTGTTCCTGATCCTCTACCCTTTCTTTTCTGGATGTCTTTTTGTCAGGCACTGAAGAGAAGTACGGTAGGAGCAGAGGCACTTTCCCAGAAAGCAGTCCAGTCTTGTCTGTAGTTTAGCTATCTCTGTGGTAGGGCTGTTCTTGTTGCTTCTGAGTCTGCTAGCTTTCTCTCATGCCCAGGGCCATGATTTGGCTGACTTCTCTCCCCTCCTTTCTTCCCCTCTGCTCCGTATGCTTCCCAAGATGTCTATCACCCAGAGCTGGAACTGAGCTGTCTGTACAAGACAAGTTCTGTTGCATCCCTTCTTAAATTTCACAGAGTAAATTTATCAAACCTGCAGAGCAGTCTGCTTTCATGTACTTAGGTGCTGTTTTGAAAGTGGCTGGCAATGGAGGAAATCAGGTACCTTTCCCCCCCTTGTCAAAGCCCATCTGCTGTAGCGTCTAGAAAAAGAACCACTTAGTTATTGGACAGTAAATGCATTTGTGTAACACAGCTTCCCCTAGCAGACTACTGGATGGTGGCTTGCAGGAGACCACCAGGAGCTGACAGGCAAGGGTTAGAAAACTTGGGAATAAATCTGCTGGGGGCAGGGTGGGAAGAGATCCTTCTCCCCCTTGTCAAAGCCCATCTGCTGTAGCGTCTAGAAAAAGAACCACTTAGTTATTGGACAGTAAATGCATTTGTGTAACACAGCTTCCCCTAGCAGACTACTGGATGGTGGCTTGCAGGAGACCACCAGGAGCTGACAGGCAAGGGTTAGAAAACTTGGGAATAAATCTGCTGGGGGCAGGGTGGGAAGAGATCCTTCTCTTTCCCATGCTCAAGTACCAACTCGGAGTCCATGGCTGCCTTCAAGTATGACACTTAAAATGATGTGATCTGCAGCTTAGCGGCATCATGTTTGGCACTACATTGTTTGTTTGTTTTTCTCCTGCAATAAACAGCAATTGCTGGCTAACTGGCAAGATATGTTTGCTCCCAACCTGAACAGCAGTTATACCCAGCCCTCCTTGCCCCATCATGTACCTACCCAGCTCCTGCAGGCAGAGCTCCTGCTGGATGGTGTCTATGTTCCTATTTACCTCAACACCCAGAGCAGGATTTGCCACTTAAAATGCACCAATGTGAAAATTTAACAAGATATTAGCGCAGCAAATAGCTGCTCCTTTTTCCGAGCCTGATTTCACCTACCTTTTACATTAGCCTGTACCAGTCTGAAAGCAAGAATATGTTTATCTGTGACTCCATGTTCCTCGCTTCAGAAAAAAAAAAATTTCTTTGCAGTATTTCCACTTTAGTGATGCAAGACTCATTCTAAAAGATACTGAGGCATTGTAGCACTGAACTGGAGCCTGCAGTGATTCACCAGGCTTTGTTCTTGGAGATAAAGTAGAGATAAATTATCTCCAGAGCACATCTAGTTGCAAGTCTTGATTTGTTCCCATCCCAACTGGGGTTTAGGAACCCTACAGTGCCCTTGAGGCATGGGTCACAGTGCTATAGAAAGTCCTCCTGGAAAGTATGGTCCAGTGAACGCTGTACTAGTGGTTTCTGGGGTAGCATAGGATTGTTCTTAACTCACTGGAGCTGGAACTTGCCACTGTTTTTGCCTGAAATCTGACAGAGTAGACCAAAAGGAGATATCCTGCCAGCTTTCATGACCTATACAAACTTAAATGAACAAAAATATGTATTTAGGTTTTTCTCTGCCACTGCCTTTCCTTGATCCGAAGTCTGCATTCAAATGTCTTTCCGTCTCTTTTTCTAAGGATTTATATATACCTGTTTGGTTCCCCAGTGCCTGTGTTTGTGGCATTAAAATAAAGCAATGTAACAGAGAATATAACAGAAGTGTCTATGGGACCTCTCTTGATCCTGCATTAAAGTTGACTTCCCATAAAAGGGTATCAATGAGAAAAAATCCTGCTCTGTAGCACCCTGGAAAACATGGAAGGTGTCTCCTTCCTTTCTTCTGAACCATCACTGCCAAGTGGCGATGCACAGCACTGACGCTTACGTGCAGGGCCCAGGGTCCCTCGGGCATCATCACAGAGCTGACTCTGCAGTGCAACTGAGATAATGCAGTGGTGCGTTTCCAAGCCCATGTGATCTTTAACAGGCAGTCTATGCAGTTATAGCTTTTGATAAGGCTATGCTTTATCCATGCAGGATTTAAGCAGTGCAGCTGACAGAGTTTCCCATTACAGAAAAAGCTCTGGTTCATCTGCGTTTAAAACCCTTGCAAAAACCCTCCAGTGACTCCTTTCATCTATTAAATTACCTTAAGTATATTTAGGGGAGAGCATAAAACAAAACAGTGTTGACCAGAATGCTCCTGTATGCCTTTTATGTCTGTGTAATCCAGAAAGGAAAACCTGTAAGTGCAAGGTGGTGGGTATTTTTTTTTTCTTCTTCTTCTTCCATAGCAGACTTAAAATAAAATCTATGCTTCTTTATACAGACTGTTGGGAGAGAAATCCTGCTCCATTTGATAGACTTCCTGGTGACCAGCTATCGACGTGACCCAATTATTACCCGGTTACTCAATAATACCCGGATTCATATCATGCCAACAATGAATCCTGATGGATTTGAAGCTACAAAAGTGCCTGATTGTTATTACACACAAGGAAGGTAAGGATGGCTTAGGAGGGTGGGAGTAGGTAAAGGAAATGGGTGGGGAGTAATAATCGGAGAGAGCCAAGAGACTGAATCATACTTGGGGGAGAGGATAGGCTAGAGGATATGTTAGGGCTAATTTTGGCCGGTGCTCTTCTGAAGACGCACTGTTACGGCATAGAGTTTTTGGAAGACTGAGTCAGACTGGTGTTTATATGTGATGCGGCTAGAGAAAATTGGTCAGAATGGTGTAATGACCTAACCTTTTAGGCAGGAGACCCAGATTGGGAATAGAAGCACAATAACCTATTTAGACCTTTAGGGTGCTACAAAAAAAGAAGGAAAACTCCACCCACAGGGATCTATTTCAATTGAAGAACTCTATAACCCTTCTTAATGAGAAAAAGGTGTGTCTAAGCTTGTTGAATGGACTTCTAGAAATGTGTTTAAAGATCACGTTGAATGCAGATCTGGTAAGAGGGAGGAGTTACGCAAGCAGAGCGAGCTGTGCTAGTAGCAGTGCTAGGAAAAAACTGACGCAGAAGAAAACGTAACCTAGCATTGCATCCTGTGCTACTTTTGCATTCTTTAATGTGACTATTGCAGAGAGCAAAAAGGGGAGGAAAAGTTTTAACAAGCTAGAAGAGGGAAGAAGAAGAGGGAGTGAGAGAATGGGAAGAAATGCCAAAGGGACAATGTTGGCATGTGCAGAAAAAGCAAATTCATGAGCTAGAAGTTCTCTTGGATCACTGGCCATGGCAACGTCGGAAGCAAGTGAAAAGGTAGTTTAGGTAGTTTAGTTCTCCAGGTGACTGGTATAGGCCCACCTTTTTATTAGGAAAGAAACTTACTCCTCAGCAAATAGATAGGACTTTTATGGAGGGTGGGATATTTAATCCCCTCACTGTCAAATAGAGTTTAACTAACTGAGTTTGAAAATTAATATAGCTGACACTAAATACCCTCTCTACTCTTTGTACTGACCTGTCTGAGTGAAAAAGGAAGAATGCATTTGCACAGGCTGGACCTTCAGGAACAGGGGGAAAAGAAACACATCCTGTGTTTGAGTCAAATTTTTTGCTCTGTGTCCAGAGTGACAGCAGTACAAGGGACACAGCCATCCAGTAGTTACCTTGATCTTCTATACAAGCATGAAAAACACATACAGAAGGACAACAGCCTCCTTATCTGGCTTAGATTTTTCTAATTCATATATGTGTAGGTGTGTATATGCTATATGCATGTTAAATATTATTCACTCTTTC